TTTATTTTTCCTCCACAATTTTTACTTTCTCTTTCTTCAATTTTGCCAATCTCCTGTAAATTATTGTTTGAGATAAAACTCCTCTCATTTTTTCCTCTTCGCGGCTCCACTAAGTCGCTTGCTCCTTTCTCATCCAAATTTAAACCGTGTAATCACCCACAGCCTCTATTTCACTTCGGGCAGCGAAATTTCCAATTATCAAAATCTCACCCGGTTTGAGACTACCTAGCCCGGTTAATTTTCTTTATTTCTCCTGCTTGCCTCTCTTTTTCATGGTTGCTCTCGGCAGGAGTTAATGTCTCTTTCTCAGGAGTAGCGTCGATTTTCTGCTTGAAAAAAAAATCTCTCTCATAGTTTTTATTTAATCATAATAATTTTAGAGATGTTAGTCCCTCTATTAGGGAGGTTTTTTAACCCTTTTCTAAAAAGGAGAGTAGGCATTAAAATAAAAGATTAGGTTTTGCTGGCCCGGTTATTTAGGCAGATTTTATTTTGGCTGCAGTTTCTTTTGTAATTAAATTTCTAAATTAGCTAATTTGGTTTGTAATTAGCAGAGGTGGTTAATTGGATTAAACAATTAATTAAAAATTTTTAAATCCAAAATTATTATTTCTGGCTCAACAATTTTATTTCCTCCTGGTAAAACTTCGTTCCCGGAGTATTTCCGTCTCTTTCCCGAGGTGTTTCTAAGATTTTGGCAATACCGTTGAATTGCGGGTGCCAAATTATTCTTTTTAAGGCTTCTTGACCGATTTTGCCAAAACCAATATTTTCATGACGGTCTTTTTTCTCCCCTAACTCAAAAGCCGAGTCGTTAACGTGGATAACTCATAATTTATCTCAACCAATTATTTTTTCAAATTCCGCCATTACTCCTGCGAGATTGTTCTTAATATCATAACCCGCTGTGTAGAGGTGACAAGTGTCCCAGCAAACACCAACTCTTGCTGGCTGGTCGACTTGCTGGATTATGGCTTGGAGTTGGGCGAAAGTTCCCCCGATTTCGCCACTTCTCTGGCACATAGTTTCCAAAGCAATACGCACATTTGGGTTGGTTTGAAGCACTAAGTTAAGACCTTTGGTTACCTGGGCTATGGCCTTCTCCGGAGAGGAATTTAGAGCACTACCGGGATGCAGAATAATAGTTTTGAGACCAATTTCGTTCATGCGAGCCATTTCTTTTTGTAAAAAGGCGACCGAAAAATTAAATATTTTTTCGTTAGTCGTATTACCCAAATTTAGCAAATAAGGAGCATGAACGATTACGTTATTAATATCAATATTGTTTTCGCGTAAAGCCTGATGAAATTCCGGGATTTTTAATTCGCTTAACTTTCGTCGGTTGCTATTTTGGGGAGCTCCCAAATAAATCATTAAAGCATTTGCTCCGTAACGGACGGCTTCTTGGACCGCTCCGGGCAAAAAATTAGGTTGTCGCATTAAGCAATGCCGACCGATTATTAATTGATATTCTGATAACATACACTTTAAATATTAATTTTATCCTAAACAGCCAGAAGACTCCCACTTCCATAAGTGGGGGATGAATGGCCAACGCAACTTCTTAACTAATTC